TTATTAGCAAGGGCTTAAGGAAAAGAATAATTTTGGAAATAAGGATATTAAGCCCCCTTACCAGATCTGTGGATCTCCACCAGACGTGGAGATCCACAGTAATTTTAAGTGGTGTTAATTTTGCAATTATACTCAGTTAAGCTTTGGATGATTGGGGATTTCTTGTTTAGTTGTTTTATACCTTTCTCTTCTTTTAGTGTTTGAACTATGTCCTAATCAAACTTTTGTAAGCTATGTAGGAATTGTACCTATGCTGAAATTAGATTAAACATCTACCAACTGCTTACATGAAATTTAAAAACAGCACCATTGGCTGTGATACTAAAGGGATTCCGATGCCTTTTTAAGGTACTTTAAACAGTCCAGCTGTGTTTCATCCCTTGCTAAAAAAGTATGTCTACAAAATAATGCATTTCCAAAACATTTATATGCATAATTTTGTCTTTAGCTTAAATCCTGTTTGATTAAATTCCTGCCTAGCAGCTCCAATAATTTTTTTACTGCTCTTGCAGCTGGAGTACTTTTATTATTTCTCATTACCTCAACATTTTGTTTAACTTTATGCTTCTTTGTAGTATCAGTAGTAGTTAAGAGGAAACATATCCATTAGTAATTTATAATCATATAGTATTTCACTTTACTAAATAGAATACCACAAAAATTTAGTTCTGAATAAGTGAAGAATCCAGATTATTAGCCATGATAAGGGATCTTTGAAAATATGCAAGGTTAAGGGCAGTGCTGTTTCTAATTGAAGGCAAAGTACTTCTGGAAATCAATTAAATCAAATATTTCAGTGCGCCTTTGTATTGTATTGTATTGTAAATAAAAAAAGATTTCTTTTATTTTTTAGAGTGGTCTCCTTTATATGTGCATCTTTACCCACTGCATTCATTGCTGTTACAGATGTAGTAGCTTTATAGGACACTTATGACTTCTGATCATTTATGGCATCAATTGAGTGCTATTATCTCAGAGTCATGATTTTTTCTCATCCACTTCAGACTTTGCTGGCAAAGACAAACTTACATTGTACTGATGGCTAGTCATGATTGGCTCAGACCTTCTGATCTTGGCTGCCGTCCATGGAGCTCAATAGGATTTTGTGTAATCCCACAGAGCAGATGGACATGCAGGTAAGATCACAGTGGTAGAGCAGCTATAATTGGCCTGGCCCTCTGCCTGCAAACCCTTTTGATTTGTAGTAGTTTCAGTTTTTAAGATCTAATGAGATATTGAAAATATCAATGACTCAATCAATTTCTTTGTCAGACATTTCAAATCCAACGGCGAGCCTTTAAATTTATGGTTGTAACAAACTGACGCAGAGGCTGCATATGAAAATGTAATGCTATAATCCTGCAAAGTGTATGGAGTAAAACTGCAACCTAATAAACCACATAGCTCAGTCTCAGTAAACAGATGTATGCAATAAGGATAATATTCTAAAAATAATACCAAGAATATTCTTCTAAACAGCAGTTTTACACATCATAATTGATTCCTGGGTCAGTGCAATATACAGTAGTAGCCATTCAAAATTTCCCCAGTTTCCTTAATGGACCCTTGGGTGGTCCCCTACAATTCCTATTTAAACATCAATATTTGTACTGAAATATTCTTCCTGTCATGATTTGTCGACATTAATATCTAAAGAGAAGCATAATTTCCTGGTCAGGCCCTGTTATTCAGTGAAAGGGGGGAGTCAGAGTAAAAAGAAATATGCAAGAGGAGGTCACTCCACTGGCTAGAAGTTGGATGGGAATTCAATGGGAGTTTGAGGGAAGTGGGCTGCCATTCAGCTGGCATTTGAGTGGAAAGGGCCATTTTGAATGGCTGCTGCTGTACAGTATATATATTTGTTCTTAGCAGTATTGTTTAAGCAGTATTTAGCTTTAGGGTTGAATAAAGATACCTTTACATTCAACGTGACGATACTCAAGTACTTAGAAGCGTTCATGAGGGGCTCAACAAATATAAAATACCCATTTCCTCCTTATCTTTTTCCCCTTGGATATATGTTAAATTAAAAACACATAACACAAGATGTCCCCACTGGATTGTTTTTGTTTATGCTCCTTTAGACAAGTAGAGCAAGTATGTTTTTCTAACATCCAAGTGAGAATTGGTCAACAAACTATTAGTGATAAACTTGACTTCTATTTTTGTAGTTAAAAATCTTCACCCTCAATAGCAAAGCTATGCATGCCAATTGAGTCATGCTAGATCAGTAAAAATTGAGACGATTTGCCACAAATAAGAGCCTTCCAGCTTGAGTTTAGGTTCAGTCTTCATTACAACTAAATCGGGAAAAAAGGGCAGTGCTGTAAATACTCTCTAGATGGAGTAGATGACCAAAAAAGGAAGTTTATTAAAACATTGAAACAATCAGAAAAAAAACAATATTATGAGATGCAACAAGGAAAAAGAATTTTTGCAACTGCTAGCTTTTTGAAATGCCAAAACAAGCTACTTAACACAAGGCAAACTTAGACTAGCTATGTCTTTTTTAACATTTAAATCAAGCAATATTTATTAAAGTCGCTAAAGTTAATACCAAAAAGCTAATTTATGTTTAATACTTGTACTTATGGCTGTTGTTCTTTAAATAATGTGAATGAAAAAACAAACAAAAAAAACACACACACACAATTGTAGATTATTACAAGGCTAATTCTTGATAAACTGTTACATTACCCTATGAAATATTACACTCTTTACCTGGTAATGTTCACATATTGAGGTCTAATATACTGCATTTGTTTTTGGGGAATTACACAAAAAAGATTAATCTTGCTCTGCTCTTAACAAGGAAGATACTAATTTTCTATTTGAGGAAAACATCAGGAGACTGTGTTCTCCATTTGTTCATGTTTCTCTGTCTGGTTGAATCAAACTTGTGAAGACAATTCTTTTCAGCTTGCAACCAATCTCTGTCAGTCAAGCAAAGGTTTGCTCCATCATCACTTTCAGCTGTAAGATGTTCGAGGGGTGCTTGGTGTTCACAATCACCCTACATAATCTAAATAGGATCAAGGATTTCCCATGTCTTAACCCCCAAGCAATCCTTGATGGATTTATTTCTCAGGCCAGTGCCATGGCAGTCAAGTTTTGTCTCTGTCTTATTTTTTGTCTTTTTACACAAAGTCTCTGTATTTTTTTTTAAATCAGCCTCTGCTAGAAGCAGGAGTCCATTGTGAATTCTTAAATGGTAAGCTTGGCAGGTCCTGATACAGCATAGCATCCGAAAATCATGATGGTGGGTATAATGTTCTAATGCTGTATTTTGATTATACTAATCAAGCCCTCTGTTCTGGTGTTTTAATAAATTCCGTTCTTGTCATGATCTCTTGATTAGGATTTTTGGTTCTGTTGAAGTTTAACATAGGGATTTCAGTTACACTTTTTTGGCATTCTGTGTTTTATTAGTCATTGCTTTCATTTCCATTCAGTGTCATCTAAGTTATTTTCTAGTCATATTTAAGCCCTGTTGTATTTCTTTGTTACTCTCTGTTGCCCCCTTGTGCCAGTCTTCTTTGCCCTAGATCTCTTCTAGCTCCTTCAACACCTGTTGCCAATAAGTTGATTACTCCATTCAGTGTTCTGTTTGGCGTATATACTTCTCCTCTGCAGTTACTGTTTACTGGATTCTCTTTATTCCTTCCTTAGCCTATGTGTTCCCATTTCTTTTGGTTCCTGTGGTCCTTGATTAGTTATTTCTGGATTTATGCTTCGGTTGCCACTACTTGTTATTAAATCTACAGGAAACTACCTCAGCTTCTGTCTTTGCATTTGGGTCCTCTAAAAACCTTCACACAACCTGACAGTTCTAGATTAATCTATATCAGTATTTTAGCAGTTCCTTTCTCTACATGCTCACTGTCGGTGTATTCTCATTATGAGTTCGTATGAAATCGTACGAAAAGTTATGCACCGTAATTTCGTACGTTTTGGACGTTTTTTTCGTCGTATGCGCATGCGCATCTTACGCACCATTCAAGAACATAGAATTTAACATACAATTAACCCTAACCCCGACACTAACCCTAAGATATAAAACAGCAAGCAACGTAGTTAGAGACATTAAGAAGTAATTATTGCACTGTTTTTCCCAGTTTTACGTCCGTCCGCGGATCTGCTTTTTTTGTCTGTCTGCCTGCGCATGCGCACTGATCTGGTTTTTTGAGGAAAAACGTCCAAAATGTACGAAATACTGTGCATAACTTTTCGTACGATTTCATACGAACTGATAATGAGAATATGTTGTCACTGTAGATATTTGCCATGTGTTTTTTTTTTTTTTTAGAGCCAATGTTTCTCTCTCTTTCTTTCTTTCTAATTATACAGAACTATCTGAACCTTAAAACTTTAGATTACTCTTTAGGACTGATCCCGATTTTAAATTGAATCTAAATTCAATTCAAAAATACATTATAAATCTTTATAAATCCTTGCATTTATATTTGCAACTTACAAACTACAAGTTCATTGAAAAAGGACACATTTAGAAAACTAGGTGCAGGAATGAAGCATTTAATCTAAATGTTAAATTCTGGACCCCCGCTTGAAGTCTGATTGGCCCCCATGTGATAGACATGCACAGCACCACACAGTATTTGGTGCTATGTGGGTGGGTGGAAGAAATGCACAACATATTGTATTTCAATATATATAATGTTCAGAGAATCTGCATTTCATTTAATGAAAGTGATTTGTATTTGTATCACTGTAGGTCTGTGGAAACTCCTGAGATAGCCTAGCCCCCCTCCCGCCCCCAACCAAAAAAAGGCAAGCTCCGTCCCTGGATGGGGTGCAGCACTAATCGACATTATTGGATTGTGGCGCAATTTTTTACATTTGTGATAAACGCATGGTCACTTTTACACAAAACTTTTTTTTTTTTTTTTTACACACATTCTCTCTCTTCCTTCAGCTGATGTCGCCTCTGCTCGCCAACTCTTTGCGCCTCCCCCTTCCTCTCTGTCTCACTTCAGCTGTGGAAGCGAAGGGGAAACACTAGAGCACAGAGACTGTTGCTCTGCCTCTCTCCAACGGAGCTCTGAGTCCCGCGGCGGAGACTACAACTAAAGAACACTTGGATAAAGAAGGACTATATTAGAGCACCAAACGTTGCTTTCATCGCTGCAGTTTTTTTGTTGTTGTTTTGTTTGTTTGTTTTTACTTCTATTTAATGCACGGGTTATTCCCTTCGACTTAAACGCCAGTTTATTGAAAAAAAATTATATATAGGCAAAATGTGTCGGTAGATCAAAATCGGGTTAGAGATCACAATATGTTGGTTAGGTGAATTTTGCTGGAATTTCTTTGCTGGATTTCCTGCTTTCGGGCGACCGGGAGGAACAGCAACAGTGTGTGGAAAAGTAGATCTGAATGTTAAACATATGGCTCCGACGAGGATAGCACGGTAAGTCCTACGCTGTCTCCTTCTCACACCTTTAATCTCTAATGAAAAAGCTCCGTTTTGCTCTCTATTGATTTTAATGACCGCAATTTATAAGTGATATGCATTTTACATCGCTGCTATTTCCATTGTTTTAAGATTACCAAAAGCCATCACCTTAGGTCTGTCCTTCTTTTAAAATAGATTAACACGTGCATGTTTTAGAAGCGGATCATTGATGAGAATGTAACGGAGGAAAAATAAGCATTCGTGTGAGACTATGCTTAAAAAGTGTAGCAACTGAAAGCATGTTCTTGGATAGAGATGGTATTCGCTGTCCATGGTGCTAAAACCTTCTGATGGGATTACTCTCTGCTCCTTAGGACGCTTCAGCTGACGTCCATTGGAGTCAATTAAACGAGAGTCAGCGCATTCATATGCAATGCTGGTCTTACATTTCACTTCTTCACCTATCATTCAGCACTGACTAACATGGTACTAGAATGCAGTGTTTGTGAATGTATTGTTTTCTTCCAATCTCATGAACTTTTTTTTTTAAATCGCAACATTTCATTCCCCCCCCCCCAAAAAAATAAAAATAAAAAATAGATATTTATACATCCTGCACCTAATGACTGCACTGTATTTTTGTCAGTACATGTCCAGCTGAAATGGTCTATTCAAAATCGCCATCCGCCAGCCTGTTGGTCTGGGATTATGAAGAGTGAGAGAATCATCCGATTAGTTGAAATTACACCAAGCTGTCGCCAACTGGTCAGATAAAGAAAGGAGAAAGTCAAAGTTGAGTCCAGGTTGAGGGTTACATCTAGCCAGTGGATGTTATTTACAAATAATGCTTTGTGTTCTTGCGGTTATATCCTTACAGTAGTGTGTGATTATGTGTTTTGTACAAACAGGATTAGCTATTTATTGATAAATAATGACAAACCCATTATTACACATTGCCTCTGTTTGTGTCCCAGTGAAGCAGAGTCAGTGTGTCTTGGCGAGTTTACCCAGTGGATTATGTGACACTGCCTTCTAGCTGTTCCTGAGTGTTCTGCCAAGCAGAATTGTGTGTGGGCTCAGTGTGTAGGTGTATGTGTGTTTCTAAATGTGTGTGAAGAGGGGGGGTCAAACAAACAGAATGTGCTTTGTGAACCTGGGACCCTTCCACTCCTCACTGTGTCAAATCCAGTTAGTCACGCTGGATGAGAGAGGCACCAGCACTTCGGTCCAAATAACGGAGGCTATCTATGTGTCTGTGGCTCACTGTGATGTGATATTTCATTTTGGTTGAACATTTTAAGTTGGAAGTGTTGAAGAAATTCACTTTGTGATTTCTACTCAAATCAATTCTCTTTTTTTTTTATTAAATATTAGATCCCTCAGTTATAAAGTTTTGGAAAACTACACACCCTTTGTCATATTACTACATTGGAATTAACAAACCCAACAATTCCAAACTATATGTTTATCTTTTACTTGTGGAACAGCTACAAGTATTTTGGGATATGCTACTACTAGCTTTACATATTTAGGAAATGAATTATTAAAGTTCTTTTAAAAACAACTGAAGATTGGGTGTAATGTATTTATAGACTGCACGTTGTTTACTGATCCACTACAAATGGATTTAGGTCTGTACTGTTTTGGATCGCTCTTAACACTTGCATCATCGTTTTTAAACCAGTAGTACTGGTCATATAGTAAGAGTAAAAAGGGAGAAAAGTGTTGCCCTGGATAACAATATTTGAAACATTAAATTAATTTGATACAGATTTAACAGTTTACATACATTGACTGATTAGCATCCAAACCCCCCCAAAAATCCACATAAAGCATTTGGGAACACCACTCTCATATGACCTAAAGAGTAACTTTCATGGTTTATATAATCTAAAAACACATCATATTTAAAACAAAAATGAAAAACTGTTTGTCAGCAAAACACTTTTCTGTTTGTTGAAAAAAAGCCCTCTTCAGTAGTGTAGAAATGCCACAGCTACAAGCCTAGTTAATTTTACCATCTTTATCTTTCACAGTTGGAAATAATTTTCTCTCTTTACCTCTTCCATCCATTAATCTCAAAGGCATGTCACATAGCCATTATCATACTGTTTCCACTTTAGACATATGACCTCAACACTGTTCAATGAGTTGTTTACGGGTTGAAATATTGTCTTTTTTACCAAGCGATGCTTTTAAACTTTTACATAATTTTATCTGTAACCTATTCTATGTGTTCTTTATTCTATATATTTGCTCAAAAAGGTTTTTTCTAGCAAACTGCTATGGTGGCAGCAAAACAGACATTTTTATACCAAGACTCTATTACACATATGCTTCTTTTCTACTGACATTCCAGCTCAAAGTGACTCTACTCAGGTCTCTGAACCAGTTGGATTTCTATAGTTCCACTGAGAGCTGCAGACGTGGCTTTAAGCTCCACCATCAGCCTACAGTGTTGGGCATTGTGCCACTACTGTATGACATTAATGCATGGAAGGAATCCCTGTGTAACTATATAAATAATAAAATAAATAATATACTTACATTAAATAAATAAAAAAAATAAAATAAAAATGTGTTTTGTATCATTGCAGGTGCAAGAATTTCAGTATTACTGACCCAGAAATACAAAACTAATCACAGATCATTGTATAAGATTACGTATGAGAAAGAAGAACAAAAAGAAAGGGAGCCATTGACAGCTGCTTAAATGGGAGAAAGATTGGCTGAATCTACAAAAAGATTAATGCTCCTTTTTCAAAGGGCTTATTGAGATGAATAAATACAGTATAATGCTTGAGTATAATTCTAAAGGCTTAAGTGTCTTTTTTATTTATTTCTTTACTTTTGTAACTCCGTCGGAGGAGTTCCAAGCAGCAACAAGTTGCTAAAAGTTCCATCCAGTTTATTTCACAATTTCAAAAGTAGGTTGATCTCACATAGAGCTTACTCCATTCTTTCTTTTGAAAGAATAAGAAATTAAACCATTGTCCCCTGGAAACCGACCTGCTAGCTGCAGGTGTAGTGACCAATAGTTCTGTCACCAGTGAATAAAAATGTAATCTGAATTTGTAGGGTTGCATAATATACCCTGAAATATAAACGGAACAATTGAATAACACATCCTACATCTGAATGATGTAGGCCTGGATTTAGAGTCGCACAAAAAAATATTGTGGAAAAACACACTACAGGCAGATTCAACTTTGTACAGATGCTTTAACTCAATGTATTGCTTTAAATTTGAAGTGGACATGGCTAACATATGGACTTGTTTGTTAAATCTTGATGGACTCTCTTTTATGTCTGAGTCTTCCTCTGTTAGTTCAAAGAGTCTGAACCACGCAGAATAGCACTAGCAGTGGACATGCTGATCTGTCATGCTGTTTGCCGTAATAAGTGCCGTAAAAACCAATGTTATTTGATAGAAGTGTTGTTGTCAATTGTATGTGAGCTGTGTGTGTCGCTCATTATTCTCATAGTGAATGTCACTCTCTTTCACGTTCATTACTTTAAAACTGATCCATTCAGTTTATACCTTCAAATCTGAATGTACGTACAAAAAAACGGTACAAAAAACTCACGGTTCGGTACGTTTTCTGTACAGTGCAGAAAAAAAAAACATGACCAAAAGGCTCTCACCAAAGCCAATAGATATCTGAATTCTGCCTCTTCTACTTTGGAATTTGCTTCAAATTTTTAATTTTTTGCGTGTATTCGTATCAACGGGTTGTTGTAATACATTTCTTAGAAGTAATTGGATACTTTTCTTCTGTTGCGTGCCGGTGATAGGAATATCTGGGTGGTGTCATTTGATATGTGTCTACATATTTGTAGTGTTCCCACACACGTAATAAACAGGTGTCGAACAACGACAACAGACCGTCTTTGTTTCATCAACCACTCAATCTCCATCGCTATTATAATTCACAGGGAACCCAAAGTTATCCCACACCACTGACTTGAATGATGACGCTTGGTCTTCTAATTCTTGGCCACTCACCATTGTTAGCACTCTCTCGCAACAACACAACGGAACAGCGGTACCTATCTAGACCAATCCAGGTATGTCTATATGTCTATGGACCAATCCAAGCTTGCAGGTGGTAGTGGTTAAATAGGTCCTGAAGGAAACTCTTGCAAAATAACAGTTCCGCGTCTAGATCAATATTAAAGTTCTATAGCGTGTGTATTCTGCATGACAATGAGCGTGCCAAACCGTGACCCGGTTCGGTACGAATATATATACCGTGCTGGCCCTAATATATACAGATTGGGTAAAGCAAGTATTGACATTTTTCTCAGTAAATACATTTCTAGAGGTGCTGCTGACATGACTTTTTCACCAGTTGTCAGTAACAATCCATGTATACCACACATACAAAGAAATCAAACCATGTATGTCTAGAAATTAAGTTATTTATAATAAAGTGAAATGGCACAGGGATAAGTATTTAACACACTTACTGAAATGTATTTAGTACTTTGTACTAAAGCCAGTTTCAAGACGCCTCCTGTATGGAAACATTTGTCGCATTCATTGCTCAGAAGGGATTTTGGCCCATTCTTCCAACAGTCGCCAAATCCTAAAAGGTCCTTCTCTGTGAACTCTGCTCTTTAGTTCTTCCTATAGAATATCTATTGGATTCAAGTCAGATGACTGTCGGTGCCATTCTGACATCTTTATTTTCTTTCTCTGAAAACAATTGAGAGTTTCCTTGGTTGTCTGAGGTAATGTCATGATCTTGGCATTGATGTCTAGTCTTTTAACTCATTTCACTCACCTGCTTATCTCTGCCCTGTACTTGTTAAAGCTCATCTGATCCTCCTGCTTCAGTCTCTATTTAACCAGCCTTCAGACCAGTCATCAGGGCCAGATTATTCCGAGCCTGTGATGAGAGTTTTCTAGCGCATCTGTGTTTTCTGCTTGCTTGATCCTGACACTCTGCCTCTGTACCTGTGAGCCTGCCTGTCTCCGCTCTGATCTCTTTGCCTGACCTGTCTTTGGACTC